AATGTTCATAAAAATTAATTAAAAAAAAAAAGAATCTAGCAGCTGACGGGTGGTAAGTCGGCCACAGTGACTCGACGTCACTCTGAGGAGAAAGATGTAGTGGTCGGCGTCCATATGTACCCAGGGAGACTCTCTGGGGTAGTTAATTCTCCTCTCTCTCTGAGGGTCACTAGGCATCAATTTGCAGGCAGTGGCTTTGGTTTCTTGTTCAGCTGAAATCTGAGCCACGGGGACGACTTAAAGTATCAATTAAATTCTATTAAGAATGTCCAGGCCCTCATCCCTCGATACCCTGGGAACTTTCCCAGAGGCTACAGGGACATGTGACCAGAAAAGACAAGATTGACCCGGGCTCTCCAAGCCGGTCCCTTTGCCACGGGCTTGGAGTCAGGCGCTCGGAGTACTGAGGCTGGTAGATCAGTGGGTGGGGATGGAGGGGGAGTGCCCCCCACCTCACCCCAGGGATGGACGGGGAGCCCCCCCACCTCACCCCGGGGATGGAGGGGGAGCGCCCCCCCCACCTCACCCCAGGGATGGAGGGGGGCCCCCCCACCTCACCCCGGGGATGGAGGGGGAGCCCCCCCACCTCAACCCTGAGTCTGGGCCCACCTTATAGGCGTTCCTCCACTTGTCATCCAGCAGGTCTTCGCTCTGGACCCTGCGGGCCAGGTGGTCACCCAGGCCGGCCGTTATAATTTGCCGCAGGAAGGTCACCTGGCTCTCGGAGGGCGGCTGCATCTTGGGGTCCACGAACAGCTCAGCCTCGGGGCAGACGGTGTTGACTGGGGGAAGGCAAACAGGGTGAGCACGGTGGGGGCCGAGGTGTGAGCTGGTCCTGCCCCAGACCTTCTGGAAGCTTCCACGCTGCGACTTCCGGGGTGTGGGAGGTGCCCCAGGGCACTAGGGAGAATCACCGCACCGGGTTTTCTTAGCTGGAATCAGTGCGGGGGGGATTCCCCCCATGGCCAGCCTCACCCCGGGCCTCTGACCCTCCTGGTTCCTTGAACAAGCCCTGGTGGTGCAGTGCCTCAGCACTCGGCTGGTAAACGGAGTCAACGGTCTGAACCTACCAGCCTCCCAAGAGAGGAAGATGAGGCAGTATGTTCTCTAAAGGACCGCAGCCCCGGGACCCCACGGGGCAGGAGCCTCTGTCCTGCAGGGTCACCGTGAGCGGAATTAACAGCTGTGGCAAAAGCTGGGAGGAAGCGGTCGACAGCCTCCCTTCTGGACACACTGCCCATGTGGAGGTTAGTGTTCAAGGTGCCCAGGGACGTAAGCCCTGCAGGACCGGTGTGCAGCGCAGACCCTCCGTACACGGGGGTGGGGTGGGGTGGGGTGGGGTATCCCTCTCTCCTGCCTCCTCTGGGGTGCGTGTGCCAGCACAGAATCTGGGACAGGGTTCTGTCTTTGAGGACCCCCACTGTGCGGAAATCCCAAAAGGAGGGAGAGAAGAAGGGAGGTTGTGGCCCGACGGCTCTGGGAGAAGCTGGCAATAGAAGGGGCAGGACCAGGGGAGAGGAAGGGAGTCGGGAGCGACTGTCCCCAGGAGCGTGCTGTAAAGCCTGTCGTGTCTTCTGAGAACCCACTGGAACATTTTAAACAAGACACAAGTTGGGACATAACGCACACACGAGGGACAGGAAACAGGAAAGCGGGGTGCAGGTCCCCGACACCTGCTGGAAGCTTCCAGCCACTCCCACCACAGCCCCAGAGTTCTATCAGACCAGGAGGGAGACGCACCAAAAGGCCCCGGCCACCCACCTGCAGTGGTCAGCTGTCCCCGCAGACGCCTGATCTCCATCATGGCCTTGTACCGCAGACCGTTGACCTCGCAGAACTGGGGTGAGCCACCTGCAAACTCCCAGGCTCCCACGGCACCTGAGGGGGTGATGTGGGGGTGGTCTGCTCATGGCTCTCATCCTGGCCCTGCATCCCTCTGTGTGCCTGAATGACCACGCCAGCTCAATCCTTCAACCTGTATCCCAATCCACTCTCTGCCCGTCCAGTCCACCCGACTCAACCCTCTGTCCACCCCCGCCCAGCCCCTCCTTCACTAGCCCTCCCCACACCCTGATTCCTCTGCTGTCCAAACCTGTCCCAGCCTCGGCCCCTCTGTCCATGCCCGCCCAGCCCTCCACCTGCTCCCACCCCATGCCCGCCGTGCACCCCAGCCTTCCACCTCCCTATCCTAGCCCTCCCCAGGCTCCACTCAGCCCCCACCCCTCCGCCTGGCCACACACCTAACAGCACCATGAGGTCTCCAAGCAGCAGAGAGGCGCCCCGGCCGGCCCAGGTCCTCTTCATCTGGGCCACACGCGCCCGCTTGCCCTTCAGGGCAGCGAGCTCCTCGTCGCTGGAGGCCGGTCTGCACACACACACAGCACTCGGTTAGCGTCCTCCTGCTCAGGGGCAGGGGGCGTGCCCACCAGCCACCGGAAACTGATCACCGGCTTGCCCGTCATAGGGGCCAGCATGCTGTCACGACTGTACCCTAAGTCTTACTGCTTATTCAACTAAATGCAGTTTCTGGTACCTCTCTCTTTTCTCTGCTGTCTTTTTAAAACTAACTATAAAAGGAAATTGTTTTAACACTCTATCGTGGCTTAGGAGTCCCAGTGGCAGAGCGGGTTAAGTGCTAGACTGCTGACTGAAAGGTCAGTGGTTTGAAGCCAGCAGCTGCTCTTTAGAAGGAGAACGAGCCATCTGCTTGTGGAAAGATCACTGCTCAGAATCCCTACAGGGCGGCTCTGCTCTGTCCTGTAGCATCGGGTGAGTCACACTTGCCTCAATGGCCAGAAGTTGGTGGGCTGGTTATTGTGGTTCTGGGGAATGTGTACAGAGTATCTCGTTCAACAATTTGTACACATTTAGTTTCATGGCACCGGTTGTAACCATGGCGGCAAGGTAACAGCACTTTCCCCACTCCCTCCCTCTGCTTCCCATTTCCATTCATCCTTATCCCTTCTGCCTTCTGAGTTGATTTCGGGCAAACGCTGACCTTTTTGCCTTGTATGGATGAGCTGGCTACCATCGATCCAGCAGCACTGATAATTCCTGGTTACTAAGTTTTGTTGTTGTTATGTGTCACTGAGTCAGAGCCAATTCACAGCTGACCCACCAGGAGGTTCTCAGAGGCTGTAAATCACACAGGAGGAGATTGCCTATTTTTCTCCTATGGAGCAGCCAGTATTCGAAAGGTAGACAATTCGAATGGCAAACCTCTGCATTGGCAATGCCAACTTCTTACCACTGGGTCACCAGAGCTCCCCGAAGGAGTTTTAGTCACTTTCTTAAGAAGATTCAATAAAAATGGTCTCCAATTTTCAGGAACCCCAAAGCCCCAATTTCACGGCTTCTGTTAATCTGGAGATGGTGTGTGACAATCTCCCCACCAAGAAGATGGGACAATGAAGGGTCAGAGGGGACGAGGCTCTGCTTGCATCCTTGGAGCTGCCCGTGCCCACCACAGAGATGTGACAGGGGAGGACTCAGAGGGGACAAGGCCCTGCCCAAGGTGTCCCGAGACCCGCCCTCACCTGTCTAACTCCTCGAAGAGCTCCCGCACGGTCATGGCGGCCACGATGGTGATGGCGTAAGGCAGGCAGCCATGTTGCCGGCTCAGGGCCAGCATCTTGGCGTAGCGGGGCGCCACGGGAAATGTGGCCATGGTCTTGCCCAGCGGAGTGATGGGGCAGCTCACCCGGGACTTCTGCAGCTCTTTTACCCTGCAAGACAGTGGCCAGAGATCAGGCTCATGGAGAAGGTACTAGGAACAGAGCTGAGGCTTGATTGCCAGCCCAAACTGAGCAGTACTGAGCCCTCCACCCTCCCCTCCCAGCCCCTGCCCTACCTCTCTGCTTTCTGGGGTGCCTGCAGGGCCCCTAGTGCAACTAATAGGTCCTCAGCAGCAATGAGGGCCTCCACGGAGGGCGGCGTCGGGAACGGGAAGTTGATGACCTGGGGACACAGATGTGGAGGAGGGAGTGAGTGGACAGCCCGAGTGGACAGAGGGGAGACCAGGCAGCAGTACTGCACGGTCACAGGAGCATCCGCTGATGGCACTTCCTTCCAGAGGTGGCCCTCACCGGGTGTACACTCTCGGCTCCTGAGCTACAAGGAGCAACAGGCCACATGGACACCACCACTGCATGGGGCCGGGACACCCTAGGGACCAGGCTCAGGACAGCGGCCTCTCTCAACACGGTCTGCCTGGTGACTGACCTTGTCAATGTTGAGCGCTTTCATCTGAAGGATCAAGTCTTCCACGGGTCTCCGGGTGATTTCGGGAGGAGGGAACTTCTCAAAGTCAGCGAAAACCGCAGACGAGTACAACCTGGGGACAGGGCGCAGACATGAGTATGTTCTGGAGTCGGGGCACAGGTCATGAGCACAAGCTGAGGACAGGGCACAGACAGTGAGAACCACCTCAGAGCTGAGGTGACGTACCACCCTTCACTGCACTGTCAGACATAAAGGAAAAGTTAGAAACCACCCCAGGGTGCACCCACAGGGGACTGGAAGAACAAAACATGGTGCATTAAGAGTGTAGAACATTCTAGGACCACAGAAAGGGATGAAGCCTTGATCCACGCTACTCCGTGGATGCACCCCCAAAACATCATCCTCAAGTTGTAGAAGCCAGACACAAAAGACTGTGTGTTGCGGGATTTCAGTCACGTGGCCCATAGCCCTGCCCAATCCCACTGCCACCAGGTTGATTCCGACCCACAGCAGTGGCCCCAGACGGAGCAGAAATGCCCACAGGGCTCCAACCCTGTGAGCTTTACTCACAGGACGGAGACAGGCTGCCTCATCTCTCCTGTGAGGAGGCTGGTGGGTTTGAACTGCCAACCTTTCATGTAGCTATCCAGTGCTTACATCTACGGCCCTATCGAGTTCTTTACGGCATGCCCAGGACAGGCAAGTACATAACTTGGGGGTCATTAATAAAAAAATGGGGCCTGGTTGCTCCTTCATGGTGACAGAACAGTTCTGGAATCATGTGGGTGGCTGCACGACTCTGAATGTGCGAAGAAACCAGTGAGCTGTTCGCTCGACCCAAATGAGTGTTCTGCATAAAGCTATGAACTGAACGAAGGAAAGAGCACCCCAGAAGGCCTCACTTTACAGCAGATTTAAGAGTCCTGGTGGAGGTAAGCTCTGGTGGCCTAGTGGCAAGAAATTGCACGGCAATCTCAGAGGTGCACAGTTTGAATCCACCAGATGCTCTGCTAGAGAGGGAGGAACAATCTCCTCCTGTACCAGTCAGGTCTGATCTGATGTTACACACACACAAAATAATAATAAAATAAAAAATTAAAAAAAAAAAAAGAGTCCTGGTGGAGCAGTGGTCGAGCACCTGTATGCGAACTGAAAGGTTGGCAGTTCAAATTCCCCAGCTTCTCTGTGGAGAAAGGCAGTGTGCACTGGTAAATACTACAGCCTTTGGGAGTCCGATGGGCAGATAGATCCGCTGTGTCCTCAGAGCTGCTAGGAGTTGGAATGGCAGTGGGATTTTGGGGTTTGGTTCACGCAAGGTGAGGAAGTACCAAGTATTTGCAAGCCTGCAGAACAGGACTTGTGGAGCTTCATAAAGGCTCAGGGGACTCCTTATAGATGTTGAGGGGGCCAGTGGGGAAGCCATTCAGAGACTGAGCCCTGGACAGGAGCCCGGGTGTCACACCTGTAGCAGTGTCCAGGCTCTGTCCGCCCAGCCCGGCCTGCCCGCTGATCCGCCGACGCTTGGGAGACCCAGGTGACGCGGAAGGACGACACACCGGTGACACGGTCATAGTAGCGCTTCTTGACCTTCCCGCAGTCCACCACGTATTTGATGCCGGGGATGGTGAGGGATGTCTCGGCCACGTTGGTGGCCACAACACAGAGCCGCGTCCCCTCCGGGGGAGGTTTGAAGACCTACAAAAGGAGGTGGGAGGGGGAAAGAGTTCACAGGAGGGAGGTGGCAGTGGTTGGGGGTGTCCAGCCAGGAATCGCCCTTGGATGGTGGGGTCAGGCCAAGTGGAGTGAGGCCCAAAGAATCCAGATCAACAAGCCCTCTATCCCTGTGTCCTACCAAGATGGCCCTGAGTCTCAACAGAAAAGAAGCCTCCAGTCTCCCAAGAGGTGATCTCAAACCTGAGCTTAAAATTGAACATGTACCCCCAATATGTTTTTTCCCCAATTAAAAAAACACACAAAACTAATCATAAAAAAAAAAAATATTGAACATGAACACTGCCACAGGCACGCCCAAGAAACGCTCGTCACGATACGTTCCAAACCGCAAGCCCACCGCCGTGCAGCGCACACCGCCTGTGATGGCCCTCCGCGGGGTTTCCGAGGCCGTAAATCTCACTGGGAGGAGAATGCCCATCTTTCTCCCGTGGAGCACACAGTGGATTCCAACTGCTGACCTCAGCAGACGATCCTTAACCCTGTACTTCACCAGGGCTCCTTCAGGGGTTGGAAAATGCCCAGATGAGCAGGGCAGGCTGGTGGCACACATGGGGGAGGACCTGGGGCATTGGGGGAGCGAGGGCGCGCACACCCCAGCCTTGCTGCATGCTGCTGGAAAATATATGGGACCAGCCAAGAGAGCTCCTTTCATTTATCCAAGAAAAAGGAGATGAAGAATTTCACGACCAGTGCCTTGATTTGCAAATATCAGCAGTGGAGCTAATTAGGGGAAAAAAACCAACAACACCAAAACAACCCAAGTTTGCAGATCAAACAGAAATGCCTGTGTTAGCTGGAAGTCAGCTGAGGGCCTCCCAGCCCACAGGCTCCTGTCTGAGGGACACACCTGATGGCTCTGACACCGAGACTGGCGCACCTCACCTCACTGCGTGTCACTGTAGCCATTCTGCGGATGGCTCATGTTTTTAACGAAAGCCTGTGGCAAGTCTCATTTGTCTGCTGGTGGCATTTTCCCAACAGCATGTGCTTGCTCCGTGTCCCTGTCACTCTCTGGTCACTGACACAGGACTGCCAACAGTTTCATGATACTACTGCATACTTCACACTATGTCTGAGCACAAGCAGAGCCTTTCCATGCTCCGTGAAGCCAGAAAGCCACGTGACTGACTTTTCGGAGCAGCTGGGAATTGAACCTGCAGCACCTCGGGGGCCTGTGTGCCCAAAGACCTGGGGGAACAGAACTGCTTTTCCCTTTGTTCTGTGTATCTGTCTGAATGCTTTACACAAATACCAAAAGCAGGAAAACACAGAGCACCTGAGAACTTAAGAGAACCAAAACAAGACAACCAGTGCTGGCGACAAGTCTTATGGGTCCTGGTGCTGGCATCACCCACTTCCGTGGAGTGCAAGCCCAGGGGGGGATGTGGTGTGCCCGAGATCACAGGAGAGGCAGAGCAGGGGCCTGGCCTGAGCCTCCACTCCTCATTACCTCCACCCAAAAAAAGACATGACACCATGCCCTGTGCTGGTGTGCACCCCACCCGCCCATGCCAGAGGGTCACCTGTGTCTGCTTCTCAGGGGCCAGCAGGGAGTAGAGTGGGAGCACATGCAGCGGGATGGAGGAATCTGGCTGATCACCTGGGGAGAGAGAGAGGCCCGCTGGACACTTGCACTCACACCTTGTTCTGCAGAGAGGCCCCTGGACCAACCCTGATCCCCCACTAGGGACCACCCTGGGGACCAGCTCAGAAGGTGAACAAGGCTCAGTGGACAGTGGACAGCTGAGAGAGGCTGGAGAGGTGCCACCAATCCTGACAAGGACCCAGTAAACCCGCCTGGCTCCAGGGTCCCACAGAACAGCACCCTACAGCTGGCCTTGGTGCCTCCTGGCCTGGCACTCAGTTTAAGCCATATCTTGGTGGCACTGTGGTAGGGGGTGCTGGGTACCAAACACCAGGACCAGTTAAAACAGTCCAGTAACTATCAGGTGACCAACAGCCGAGCACACGCTGTGCAGTAACCACACCTGCAGCCTCCACTCTGAGCTGGCCTGACGCAGCGGCAGCACCTGGCTGGGTTTGGTTCTCACTGGAAGCCAACAATGGCATCCCACCCAAAGATGGTGCCACGTGGCGGTGCTCTCTGCATGCATGCAGATGGACACACCAGCACCCTGCTCTCTATCTGGCTGGCCCGTCCAGGGTACTACTGCCCAGCTCGGCAGCCCAGGGGACTGTGTTACCCTAGAAATGGAACCCTGGGGGTGTCCCCACCACAAACATATGAGGGTTTGCTCTGCACCAATGAAGCCCTGGGTGCTAGAACGCTGCCAAAGCAAGGGGTACAGGCCCACCAGAAGAGCCTTGGAAGAAAGGACTGGCTTTCAGTGTCTGAGAACAAAGCCATGAGTAGGGCCACAGTGCTACACTGACCCACATGACGTGGCTGTGATCTGGGTGACTTGAAAGCAGCTGCTTTGCGTGGTGCCAGCAGACTTCAGAGGCTCAGGGAGCACTCAGTCAACACAGCTGACCATCCCCCCAGGACACACTCTCTGTGACAGTGAGGCCACTGCTTTTTGACCCCATTACCAGCTGCTCAAGAGAGGCAGTCCGCCTTAGCTGTGGCCATGTCCCGGAGACCCGGACAGGACCTGGAACGCTGAGAGGCTCATGCAGCGAGCGGCCTGAGGACCTGGCCGGGGTCTTACCTTCAGCCATCCCATCGTCCCCCAAGTCCAGGTCCAGGTCGGAGCCCAGGGCCTCCTCCTCGTCGTCGTCCATCTCGGCCTCCCTGTCCTCATCGCCCTCGCCCGCTGGCAACACCGAGTAGTTGTCCAGGTTGATCTGGGGCAGTGCCTGCACCAGAGGAAGACAGCGATGCCACGGAGGGGAAGATGTGAGGGGCACTCTGCGTCCCACGGGTTATAAAAGGGTTAAAGTGGGATGGCCTCGGGGGACAGCGGCCCCCACCTGGCCAGTAAAGCACTGGAGACCTGAGCGGCCTGACAGAGGTTCTACCCACCATGGTCTTCGCCTTCTTCGCCCTCGTCCGTGACTTCTTAAACTTGCGCATTTCCTCGGCCGAATCTTTCTGATCCTCCTTTTCTGGGGAAAGATGTGCGGGTGAAGGAGAGACATCTGGGGGCTGATGCCAGGCTCACGGGGGCTTTGTCCTTCTATGTCCACAGCGAGGCCACCGCAGCTGTGACCACGCATCTTGGGCAGGGGTGTGGAGGGTGAAGGGTGATGTAAGTGGGCGGGGACACGGCTGACCGCGGCCAGCCTGGGGTGCAGTTCCCACGCGTACCTGGGGGCCCGTGTCTGGTGTGTGGGAAGGTCTTCCTGAGTCGGCGACACAGCGCGTGCACCTCCGCCTGGCCCGTGAGGAACACCAGGATGCCGCCTGCGAAGAGGAAGGCGGCCGTGACTCCTCGCTCCCCGACAGTGACAGCAACGGCCGCCTGTCCGCTCTCAGGCTGCCCCCGGGCCAGGCCTCACCTGCGGGCAGCATCCGGTGGATCTTGCAGACCTTCCGGAAGCACTCGCCGCTGTAGTCTTCCTGGGGCGTCCGCTTGTTAAAATGCACCGTCACTGGAAACTGTCTGGAGTCAACCTGGGCGGGATGGGGGAGGCGGCCGGTGGGCACAGGGCTCCAATCTGGCCTTTACACGGTGAGGCCGCTTCCCGGGGTGCGGCCGGACACCAGCCCTGATCCAGTGGAGGGCCTGCTCCGAGCTCGGCCAGCTCTCCTCAGGGGGGTGGCCGGCTCCGAGCATTCACAGGACGTGAGCGAGCTTTTGCTCCGTCTGGCTCCAGCGTCTGACTCGCCAGCCCTCACGGCCGGGGGTCTGCTGCCTCACCTCGAGCCCTACGACTCATCGGCCTCCCCAGCTGCCTCTCTCCCGAGGTCGTGCTCGAGGACGGCTGGAGTCTGGCCCGGGCCTCACCTTGATGACCGGGGGCGGCGTGGTGAAGAGCCGCCGGTTCTGGGTGAAGTCCTCCACTCGCAGCGTGGCCGACATTATGAGCAGCTTCAGCGGCAGGTGCCTCTGTAGACGGCAGGGGCGGGTGACCGAGAGCGGGGCCCAGCGGGGCGTGGAGAACTGGGTGTGGGGGGGTTTCTTTTGCCCTCACGGAAGCCCTCTAGTGAACCCCTAGTCCTGTTTCTGGTTACTAAACACCCCTTGGGAAATACAGCAGGGGGCAAGATGTGCCTGCCCCAGAGGGGAAGCTTGTCAAAGGAATGAAGCACTAATCTGAGGCTGGCAGGCTGAGAGCAGGTCCACCCGTGTCCTCCCTGGACCCTCTGGCTGCCTGTCTGTTCCCACGCTCAGGCAGGGTCAGGTCACCTTCCTCCATCTCCTCTCTGGACCCTCTGGCTGCCTGTCTGTCCCCATGCCCAGGCAGGGTCGGGTCACCTTCCACCCATCTCCTCCCTGCACCCTCTGGCTGCCTGTCTGTCCCCACACCCAGGCAGGGTCGGGTCACCTTCCCCCATCTCCTCCCTGCAGCCTCTGGCTGCCTGTCTGTCCCCACACCCAGGCAGGGTCGGGTCACCTTCTCCCGGAGAGTCACGATGCGGGACAGGAGGCCAATGAGGATGTCAGTGTACACGCTCCTCTCGTGAGCCTCATCGATGATCACCACCTTGTACTTCCGCAGCAGGAAGTCCTGAGGAGGGGCTGAGGGTCATTTCCTGGCAGTGTCTCCCAGCGTCTCCCAGGGAGGCTGGCGCTGGACCTCCTGATCAGGGAACCCCTGGGGACAGCTGGAGCCCAGAGCCACTTAGTCCCCTAAGACTCCTCAGCTGCCCTACCCACTGGGCCTTGATGAGCAGTAGTGAATTACTCAAAGGTTGGGGTTCAAATCTACCAGCCTCTTTGTGGGGAAAAGATGAGTTGTCTCCTCCTGCAAAGATGTAAAGCTGTGGAAACCCGGTGGAGGGCTGCCGTGAGCCGTGGAATCGACTCGATGGCAGTGGACGGGGAAACAGTGCTTAAGGCGCCTGACTGCGGATGCTAAGGCCAGCGGTTCTAATCCGCCAGCTCTGAGAGAGAGGCAGCACACCATGTTTGCCAACAGCCAGCAAAGCGGCCACTAGGATTGGTGACTCCTCCCTCCCTGTCCCCCTGGCTCACAGGCCTGGCTTCGGGGACAAGAGAAGCCAACTGACCTTCTGAATTTCTTTGAGCAGCACACCGTCCGTCATGAACTTGATTCGTGTCTCGTCGGTCACATTGCCTTCGTAGCGGATCTGGTAGGAGACGATGCTGTGTGGACAGGATGTGGCTCAGGCATGCAGACAGACACCTGAGACTGCTCTGACACCGCTCTACGGCCGCCCCATCCCCTCCCCTCGCCAGAGTCCTGGTCTCCAGTGCAGGGGTCGGGGCTGGGGAAGAGCTGCTTGAACCACACAGGATGTAACAGCAGGTCAGGCAGGCCTGAGCGTGGGCCAGCGAATAATCAGAACACGGGCTAAAGAGCACCCGAGAGCTATTGCTTATACTTGGCAGGAGCCTAGTGGTACACTGGACTAAGCATGAGGCTACCAATCAAAAGATCAGTGGTTCGAACCCCCCAGGCAGTCCAAGGGAGAAAAATGAGGCGGCCTGCTCTGTAAAGATTTACAGGCTCATAAACCCTATGAGACAGTTCCACTCTGTCCTGCAGGGTTGACGTGGATCAGACAGGACTCAACGGCAGTGAGCAAGGTCTCATGGGAGTCCCGGGGCGGGGTGCAACGGTCAACAAGCTCTGCTGTTGAAGACGCAGCGGAGTTGAGTCCACTCAGAGTACCTCGTAGGAAAGGGCTGGTTACATCCATCCTCACATCGCCCACTGAATACCCCTGGCACTGCCTACTCGGACACAGCCGCACCCCCAACCTGAGGACAGCTGGTTGGCGCTGGACTTGGCACATGTGATCACCCACCCCCAAACCCCAGAGGAGTAGGCCTCACCGCTGAGACAAGTTCATCTCCTTGGCCACTCGCTGAGACATGGTCATGGCGGCCACTCGGCGCGGCTCTGTCACCCCGATGATGCTGTCGTCACTGGGAGAGGGAGGAGACCGGCCCTGGGTCAGCTCTGTCCCACACACAGCAGCACCGTGCTGGGATGCAGGCAGCAGCCGACTCACACCCCAGGGCCCTGAGCTGGACAACAGCAGCACTGCCACCTCAGGCCACGTGTCAACATGGGGGATGTTCAGGAGTTGGGGTTCTGGGGTGCGCTGGGACGCTCCCAGGGAAGCCTGGACTCGCCAATAAACATGAGACACATAAACCCAGAGGACAGGCTGTTGGCTTCCAGACTGCGCAAGAAAGGGTTCAAGCGCACGCCGAGAAAGCCACCCTGAGGAAAGGCGTGCACGCGGGGCAGCTGGGTCACAGGAGGGTCCCCGGTGGCACCCTGGGTAAAGAGCTCAGCTGCGAACTGAAAGAACGTGGTTCAAATCCACCAGCTGCTCCTCCAGGAGCAAGATGAAGCAGTCGGCTCCAGTGAGGAGTCACAGCCCTGGAGACCCCATGGGGCAGCTCTGCCCTGTCCTACAGGGTCACAGGGTGTCATCACTCACTACGGGACAGCAGAGGGCTTTGAGCACAGGAACATGTCAAGTGCTCGTTTTTTTAAAAAATTTTACTATTTTTTGTGTGTGTACTGTCACATCCGATCTGACTGGTACAGGAGGAGATTGACCCTCCTTCTCCAGCAAAGCATCTGGTGGATTCGAACCACACCCCTCTGGGATTGCAGTGCAGCTTCTTGCCACTAGGCCACCAGGGTTACTTGCCAAGTGCTCTTAACAAATCACTGACCCCTGGGAGTGGGCCTGGGGCCCTCAAGAGACAACAGCAGGTGACATGTTATCACCAGCCTGGCTCTAAGTGTTTCCCATGAACCCAATCGTACAACACACGGCCAGGAAGCAGGAGTTGTTAGGAAACCCATCTCACAGATGTGGAAGCTGAGGCACAGCGTGGTTAAACAGCTTGTCCCAGGGTTACCTAGCATGTAACAGCAGGGCCAGCCTATGGGTGGTGGTATGCCACTTTCTGCTGGCACCTGAGGAACCCACCTCCCTGTCCTGTCTACAAAGGAACCCCCAGAACCCTGGTGGGCCCTCACCTGCTGTAGCCGGCTTCGTAGAGGAACTGGGGCACCTGCGTGGTCTTGCCACTGCCAGTCTCCCCACACACGATGACGATGGGGTTCTCGGCCACGGCTTCCATGATCACCTGCTCCTCTGCCAGGATCGGGAGCTTCAGCCGCTCCTCCTGTGGGAGGCGGGTGGGTTCAGGGCCCAGCGCACCGCAAGTGGGCGGGCTGGCAATGCCGGAACATGCTTGGACACAGAAAAGCCCATGTCCAGTGTCACCAACACTCACTCCCCCTTCCAGACGAGGACAGCCCCATCCCTCTCTCATCATGTGACCCAACCTGAATCACAGACAAACCTGCATCTGGGGGGACCGGTTGACAGGGACAAAGACGGCAGGCCTCGCCGGAGGTCTGGTGAGGGTTGAGGTGCCTGCGGGAGGTGCTGGAGTGACAGCGGGGGTCCCAGCTGGAGCAGGCTGGCAGCCAGGTGCTGGAACCTTGTCCCGGGTCTCTGTCCCCGCGTCGGTCTCCATCTGCCTGGCTGGGTCCTTGTCAGCCTCAGTCTCCTCAGAGGACTCCTCTTCCTCTTCCTCTTCCTCCTCTTCCTCTTCCTCTGAGGATCGGTGGCGCTTCCTGTGGGCTCCGCTGAGGCTGCTAATCCTCTCTTGACCCTGGGGAGCCACCTGGTCTCGCTCCCTGTGGGGAGAGGAGAGGGTCAGACCCCGAGGCTCTTGTATGAATCAGCTGACATCACAGCAGTGCTGGCTGGAGGAACGGGGCTCCTAGGAATGTCCACGTGACTCACTCTTTGGTGTGGTACATGCGGAGTCCGGTGCCCAGCTTGGCCGTGGTATAAAACAGCTTCATCTCGGCCTCTGAGACCTGGACTTCGCTCAACTTCTGCAGCATCTCTGCTCGCTGGGGAAGGAAATGAACAAGCGGATCACAGAATTTCCCAGCATGACCTCCTCTCAGAAAGGGAGGTGAGGCTCTGAACAGAACTCCAGCACTGCTAACACCCCACATCTTTGAAAATCAACCGTCAGGCCGTATCGCCATCGCTGCTGTGTCTAGCACACACAGCAAGTTGTGGACCACTGTTTCCATGGTGATGGTGGGACAAGGCTGTGAATGTTCAGAGCCCTCAGACTGTACACTTGGAAAGGTTAGGCTGTTGTAGCTTAGGTTAATGCCCTGTTTCCATGAATACAATAAATGAAAGGGAAAAAAGTCTGACATTCTCTAGAATAATGTTTAAAATTTACTAACAAAAAAGGACTTTTTTTAAAAAAAAATGACTGAACCCAAAAATAATCCCTAAAGTCTTCTTAAAAAAATGAAACAATAGTTTAATGAGTAAAGAAAGTTAGTCTTGAGCATTAGGCTTTCAGACCTCTATATAAAAGGTCTATAAACATTAGATCAAAGGGAGCCTTGGTAGCGTAATGGGCTGTGTTAGGTTGCTAACGGAAAGGTCAGTGGTTCAAGCCTACAAGCCACTCTTTCAGTAAAGAATGATGCAGTCGGCATCAGTGAACACTTACAGCCTTGACAACCCTATGGGCAGTCTGCTCTGTCCTCCAAGATTACTAATGGTGGAAACCACTTGAAGGCAGTGGGTTTTTGGTATATGGGTTCAATCTCATGACAGTAACTTAAAATATTTAAATAGGAGCCTTAGGGTACAGTAAGTTGATGTTAACGGGACAGGCACGATTCAAAAGTGGAGGGTGAGAATAGGCACACAGCTCAAAGGATGTTACTTCGAATTGGTATGTGGTTCTATACTGCTATGTATAGGGAAAAAACCAAAAAAGAAAAGTGAGTACACTGACCCACTGGCTCCCCAGCTAACAAACTCCAACACATGGGACACATTCTGGCCTGACTGAGGCCCAGGCAGCTTCTTCAGGAGGGCTGGGAGGCTGTTGGGCTATGTGTCCAATACAGAGGGCAGATATAACACGTGGCTATTTGAACAATTAATTAAAATAAAACCTGGAATTCCTCAGTTGGGGTGGCTACATTTCAAAAGCCCAACAGTGCTACCTATTGGACAGCACAGACTTAGAACACTTCCTTTACACTAGAATATTCTATTAGGTGCCGTTGCCTTCTAACTCTCCGTCTCTCCCAACTCCCAGAGGCCATGCATGACTCTAGGGGTGCAAGGCGTACCTGGATCTTTTTCTCCTTCTGGTCTAAGACTCTCTGCAGCATCTTCTTCTCTTTCTTGGTCAGAGGTTTTTTCACTTTCTTCGATAGAGGCGGGGCCTTGGCTTTCTTCTTCTTCTTCCCCGGAAGAACAAGTGCGTTGCTAGCATCTACACCTTTCAGGTTCTCCCCATCTGAAAAGATCCAGTCCTCTTACCCACTGTCCAGAAGTCAGATACTTGGAATTTTTAGTGCTTAATGTAGCATCTCGCCTCCACCTGTGAGGCCCTGTACACTGAGTAGCAGGTACAGGTGTGGAGCTGGAGGAAGCTCACTCTACCTGAATTCCCTACTCTTTCTGGTGTGCTTCAAATAACACTTTCTTAGTGAGGTTATTCCCCAACATTGAACACTGCAATTTATACCCACATATCTCCACTTACACCATTCCTATACATATTGATGTTGCTAGGTACCATCAAGTCAGAACTAAGTCATAACTGAGCCTCCAGGTTTTCAGAGGCAGTCAACCACAAGGGAGGAAACTGCCCGTCTTTCTCCCACAGATCAACTGGTGCATTTGAGCCAAGCTTTTGGGTTCACACCACAACTCCTTACCACTAAGCCACCAGAGCTCTCTCTGTTGTCCACAGGGTTGCTATGAGTCACAGAAGACTTGATGGCATCTAACAACAACATGTATACATATATAATTAATTACATATATTAATATGTGTTGCTGTGAGGCTGAACACTGTGACACGGATGTGTCAAATGCGTTAATGGTTGGCTACCCAATGCGGACAGAGAGTGGGGTGGAGCTCCCCAATTAAACAAGTGTGGAAGGAGGAGTGGCATCCACTTCCATAACAGCTTGCCTCTGGAAACCCTATGAACCTGGAGAGAGGATGAAAGGCACCCAAGCGTCAAGGACTCTCCTTCATAGGGTCGCTAGGAGTCGTCTGCGACTCGACGGCACTTAACAACAACAACAACATATTAATATGTAGAAGAATATGGTATATTAATATGCATTTGTGGCTTTTTGAAAATTATGACTTGGGGTAAAATTTACAGAGCAAATCCGTGTTCTATTCACCAGATGATCTGCATTTTTTCAAACTGTAATCCTCTCTAGGGAGCATCATTCATCTCACCTTGTAATCACGTAATATTCTATATCCTTTAGTGTTTATCTTTGCATGTATTCTCCCCAGAACATATCAACTAAAGAAGGCAGGAGCTTTGTACACTATTTTTTTTTTGCTGGGTCTCCATGTCTCTTCTACCAGAAAAAGAGGCGTCTCTGCAGAGATGTCGAGATCCCAAGGCGGAGCTGACAGATGTGAAAATACTACCTTAGGGGCCACTAGCACGCAGATTATAACCCAAGCGATCAGAATGGAGGAAATGACTTCATTTTCTTGGTCCTAATTCTCATACTCCTTTAGACAGGGGGGTATCCCATGTGAGAGAAGCCCCGCAATGGACCCTTTCACTAATTAAGAGCTGTCATCGCTCTCCCGCCTTCGGGTCATCCGAAAAGGGGGGTCCTCTCTCGGACCCTGCTCTTAGACGCGGAGTCAAGGCATAGTTCGCAGGGTGTCGGGCTCCAGGTCCAGCGGCGCTGTCCTAGGGGAGCCTCTTAGTGAAAGCCAGCCCCCCGCCCCGAGGGACCTTACCCTCCAGTTCCAGCTTCACCGGCGGCGGCTCTGGGGGGCCCTTTGAGGGGCCGGGGCCCGCCTGCTGGCGCCCCTTAACGTTGTACCGCCGTCGCAGCCTCCCCATGGTGCTCCGACGCAGCAGATCAGCCCCTCTGTGCGGGGCCGAAGACCAACCCACGTGGGTTCCCCGATCACCAGCCCAGCCGGCGAGACTTCCGGGTTACGCTCTCGCGAGACTACGACAGCCAAGGGGTGAAGGGAGGAACGGGATTCTGCCTGAGGGCGGGGCCACCAGGAGGAAGGGGTGTGGCCAGGT